AGACCAGGTAATCCGTATGCTGAATAATTCCCAGAGCTCATACGGGGCTGCGGGATATTGGAATTCTGACCAGCCAGAGTGGAAAGAGTGTTCAACATGAACACTGACAGCATTCAATAGAAACTCCAGAACGATCTGAATTTAGTAATCTTAGTACATTTTAGTATCTTAGTAAAAGATAAACTAGTCCTAACAAAGCTTAAAACTCAGTGCCAAAAGAGTCAAGTTGTACTGCAGTCGACTTAACTGCCTGTCAGGAAAAAAAAGCCCAGCACTCTTTAAAGAAAGACAACAAAATCCACGTATTCAATAACGTAATGGCCACAATATTCAGCATGCTTTCAAAAATGAACAGAAATTAAAAAAGCAAAAAGATAGACGTATTTGAAGAAAGCAATGGTCAAGGTTTTCCAAATTTGATGAAAACTATAAACTCATAAATCCAACTATAAATTCATAGATCCAAGAATTTTCACTAAACCTCAATTAGTAAGAAAACTACACAGAAGCACATCATAATTAAATTGTTAAAAAGCAGTAAAAAGAAACTATCTTAAAAGCAGCCGAAGAAAAATCATTATGCACAGCAAAACAAAGATAAGAGTGACTACTAACGTCTCATCAGAAACAGTGCAAGTCAGAAGAAAGCAGAATGACATCTTTAATGTGTTGAAGGTAAAATAAAACAAAAGAAAAACTCTGAAATCAGAATTCTATATTCAGAAAAAAGTTATAAAAAATGAAAACAAAATAAAGACATTTTCAGACAAACAAAAAGCTGAAAGAATTTGTCACTAACAGACCTGAACTACATAAAATTTTAAATAAAGATCTTTACACAGAAGGAAATGATATCAGAAAGAAACTTGGGCCCAGACCAGAAAAAGAAGAGGGCCGGAAATGGCAAGTATGTAAGTAAATGTAAAATAATTTTGTTCTCTCATTTTGAAAATTTTTCAAAAAGTTGAGTTTTTAAAAGAGTAGCAATGTACTATGGGTATATAACACATGTAAAAGTAAATTATAGGACAACAACAGCATAAAGGACAGGATGAAAAAAGGAAGAATTCTGTTGTACAGTTATGACATTTGTATGAAGTAACATAATAGCATTTAATGGCAGACTGTGATTAAGATGTATATTGTAATTACTAAAGCATCCACTTAAAAAAGAGGTATAGCTAATAATCCAAAATAAAAGATAAAACGGAGTACTCAATTCATGCAAAAGGAGGAAGAAAAGAGGAAAAAAGGAACAAAAACCCAAATGGGACAAGAAGAAAACAAAAATTAAGATGGGAGATTTAAACACAACTATATCAATAATTCATTAAATATTGAACGACAACCAACACAGGGGAGTACATAATGTATTATTCCATTTACATGAAGTTCTAGAATAGGCAAAATTAATAAAAAGTCAATGGCTGCCTGGGGCCAAGTGTGTTAGCCACAAAGAGGCATGAGTAATCTTTCTACAGTGTGGAAATAGTCTATCTTGATTTGGGTGATGGTTATATGAGTGTGTACATTTGGTACTTAAATGGGTGCATTTTATTGTACGTAAATTATACTTCAATAGTCTTTTAAAAAGTTTAAAAAAATTTTTAAATGGCCAAAGAGAGATTTGAACCCAAGCAACCTAGAAACAAGTGCTTATGTTCTTGCTGACTCACTATACCACTTCTTGTCTGGCCTGGAAGAGCAGGTCATCCATTGAATATAACTTTCCCATACATGATATTGTGACTTTAAAGAAATGAGGTGCTCAGGTTTTAGACTGAAATATCCTTGGAAGAAAAAGTTAAATGCCTAAAAACTAATTTATCAAGAAATGCCTAAGACCTGTATGATGACTTCAGTGATGAACATTACAGGACAAATAAACAAAGAGATTTATACCATGTTACTAGATGAGGAGTCAGTCTTTTGGAGAAAGCCCCTACCCTCAATTTAATACGGACAATCAAAATTCCAGTGAGCGTTTTTGGGAGGAAGGTAAGGCACTTAGAAAACTGATTTGAAACTTTACCTGAAAGAACGGTCAAGAAGTGTCAAAAGGTTTTGAAAAACCAAATAAGAGGGTATCCTGCCTACCATATTGCAACACATCTTTTAAACCTAGTAATTAAAGCAACCTGGTACCAGGGAAAGACCAGACAAATAAAATTGTGAGTCCTAAAGCAGAAACATGTACATATGAAAATTTATCCTATAATCTTAATGTTGTGTTCAAGTGAGCTGCAAAGAGATAGACTGTTTAATAAATGGTGTTGAAGTAATTTATAAAAAAGTAAACTTAGGTCTCACCTTTCATTACACGTGAAAATAAACTCCAACCAGATTAAAGATTTAGACAAAAACAAAATTATAAAGGTACTGATAGAAAATGTTAAGGATCATTTGCATAATCTTGAAGGGGTTTCTCTAAAGATGACAGGAAACCCAAAGCCATTAAGACAAAGACTGAAAGATATGACCACATACAAATTTAAACTTGTGCATGGCAAATAACTCTATTTAAAAAAACTTTAAAACCAAAGAACAAACTTGGAATATCTGCAAATTCTACAAGGACCAGAAGATTAACACACTTAATACATAAAGAGATCTTATAAATGAAACCATCCCTCTAACGTATTCTTAGTAATAAGCAAGTTAAAACATACATCTCTTTATCTTGCAATTCCACTTCTAAAATGTATCCAACAGAATATCTTATACATATATAATATATTTGTATATATACAAAATTCGTCTTGGATCCCCAAGGACTTTTATTGCAGTAGTCTGTATAATAAGGAAAAAAGGAAAAAAAATCTGACGTGTACCTTAGTAAGTCTAATTAAACTACAATACCTTGATGCAAGAGCATTCTACTCAGCTAGCGGAAAGAACGAAGATCTACAGGTACTGACATACTAGGTGTTATATCTCATTTTATATATCATGATCTCAATTTTATTAAAAAAAATCATACAGTAGAAGCCTCTTAACTAACTCAACCAGGACCACTGGTTGGTTAACTGAAAAAGAGGCTAAAGCAGGGAAAGATAATTTAAGTATTTCATTTTAATAAAAAATATATATACATTCATTTTCCAGTCTTTGGCAATAGAACCAAGGACTTTATTCTTTAATTATGGGTCCACTTGTCCTTTCTGATTAAAGCATACTCCTAAAATATTGTTTAAGATTTCTAGTTTCAGTTTCTTTAAAGTGGAGTGAAGACTTAAAAACATTTGCAAAACAATCCAGTACACATTCTATCTAGATTTATATTTTTCCCCAATCTTTTACAATGGTCTTGCCCACTCCTAGTTGACCACAGTTTTCCTTAGCATCTAGCCCTTAGCAAATCTTTAGACTTAGTTTAAATAGAAACAATAATTCCCTTCCAAACTCACATTTTGGCTCACAGATTTCATTAAAATCACAAAATTACTATAACAAATACAATTAGAATAAAAGGTTTTGAAACAAACATGATTAGCTCCTGACAAACATCAAAACTCAATAATCTCTAACTATAAATTAACACTCAGGTTTATTACTGAATCTATTAAGAAAATTTTTAACATAAGACAGTTTAACCAAGTATCATGAACTGTATCAGCTGATATAACCCAGTCCCTAGACCTGCGCTGTCCAATACGGTATTCACCAGCCACACATGGCTACAGAGCACTTGGAAGTGGCTAGTCTGAACTGAGACAGGTTATAAATGTAAAATATACACCAGATTTCAAAGACCTCACATTGAAAAGAGAATGCAAAATACAGTGATAATGATTTTTATCTTGATCATAAGTTGAAATGATAATATTTTGGAAATACCAGATTAAATAAAACATATTATTAAAATTAACTTCACTTGTTTTTTAAAAATTTTTTTAATGTGGCTAATAGCAAATTTTCAACTACAAATATTTCTCTCATAATATGTCTAGTAGGTAGCACTGTTCTAGAGCTGCAAACATCCTTTGCTCAATAGTGACGACACCTTAAAGTTCTACTTGAAACAATAAATCAGATCCTCTTTTTTATCATCTGTTACCTGAATCCAAGACAGTGAGGAGTAACATTTTATAAGAAATCTCTCTAAGCAGACTTGTGACTCTATATCAGGGGTCAGTAAACAACAGCCCAGGGGTCAAATTTAGCCTGTTGCCTATTTTAGTATGGCCTGTCAAGCTAAGAACAGCTTTGTATTTTTAAATGGTTGGAAAAAAATCAAAAGAAGATTAATATTTTGTGATGTGTAAAAATTATATGAAATTCATATTTCACTACCAATAAAGTTCTATAGGCCTGTAGCCATGCTCAGCTTATACATTACCTACAGCTACTTCATGCTACAAGGGCACAGTTGAGCAGCTGACACAGGGGCTGTACTGCCTGCCAAGTCTAAAGTATTTACTATCTGGCCTTTTACAGAAAAAGTTTGCTGACCCCTGCTCTCTATTATCCCCTATGGCTCACGGGCGTAATTAGCTGCCCATTGCAATGACAGGATCCAGTGAAATAAAGAGAAGGGAAAGCTGTGTTTCTATTTGAACCTCATTTTAACCACAGATTAGTTTAGATTTCCAGCTTCTTAACTTGCTTCTGCCATTATTGTTCTTGACTCAAGAAAGTATTTAGAACCCCAGCTTCTGGGACAGTCTCTTCTGGGAGAGTTTGTTTGTTTGTTTGTGTTTGCCTCTAATATGTGTTCCTTTCATTTCAAAATATATAGAGTTTTGTTTGTTTTTCCGGGACAGATTTTACACAGACGGCACTACAAAAGCGCTCAGAGATCTGTGGCATCCAATGGTCAATGCATGCCTTCACTTTGACTTTCACCAGTGTTCTAGCCGTGACATCAATGCTGCCCCCAGGGAGCTTGGATACTCACTGCTCTTTTGGGATCCAGCCTCCAGCTGATATTTTCAGTTTTCTTTTAAACCTTCTACTCATTTGCAGGGCTGCCCCCCACCCATGGTTTCTCAGGTACCTACCTCAGTGGACCCTGTGAACGCAATCTTGTCTATGCCGATGTGAGAAGCTATTGCTGCCCCCGCTGTTGGCCCGTATCCTGGCAAAATATTGATGACTCCCGGTGGAAAGCCAGCCTAACAAAACAGAATTGGAGGAAACACGGCTTGTGAAAGCTGATGAAGCACGTTAAATCAGATATGCTCCGGTAGGCCCCAACTGTAAGGGCAGCGGGAGCCGCTCCTGCGGTCGGCTTCTCTTACCTCCTTGATGAGGGCTCCCATGTAGAGCGCGCTGAGTGGTGTTTGCTCCGCTGGTTTAATAACTACTGTATTGCCACAGCACAGAGCTGGGGCGATTTTCCAGGCAAACATCAGCAGGGGGAAGTTCCACTGAAAGGGAAAAACTCAAGGTTGATAGATGGAAAAATATTCCTCCACGACTTTGTTTTCAAGCTGTGACTTCTCAGGCCAGTCCTCAACATACATCTCGTCCCACCACAAAGTATAGATGTTCAGATTTTTTAATTACTTCATTAAGAACAGAATAGGACTGATCTGAAAATCTCTCCTCTTTTCTCTTGAGCAAATTCTATATTCCAACTACCCACCAAAAGAAACCTCACGGGGAAAAGGGAGTCTTTGTTTTTTCTTAGTTTTGGTTTTTCATTGTTGTTACTTGATATGTTTTCAAAATCAGACTTTGGTTTCACTAAGGTCTTGCGTCTGAAACCTTTTACTTGCATTTGTGATTTTTACACCAGAGATTTCAGGCTGGTTTGACAGCTCTTCAGTGTGGAAGAACTGGAAGAGCAAACTCCAGCTGTGAATTATATTTGAATCAACGTGAATTTCAAGGCAGCATCACTTCTTGGCATACATGTATTGTCACCAAACAGATGATCAAAAAAATAAAGTAAATCTACTGATGAGTATGCAAACATTTTAGTTTGTCTCCCTTCGACCACAAAATAAACTAATGGAGACTAAAAAGCATATGTGAGTATCTCAATTGGGGGCCTAAAAAGGCTTCCACTGATTTTAAAAGGATATTAAGCTCATATTGTCATAAGCGCAGGCATGAGCCTCAGTACTATCAGGTGTCGTTGATAATTTCATTAAGAAAGAAAACAGAAATCTTGGCCCCTGCCTTCAGCCCCTGACCACAATGTGTTTCTGCCTGAAGCATCTCAGCTGCCATCCTTGAAAGATTCTCACTGGCCCTGGCAAGCTTGCAAAAATATACAAGTGTCTTGCCTTCACCAAACACCCAATTTCTTTTCCCCTTAGTTGTTTATAAACTTGGGAGTCCACAGTGATGTTTTAATTCCATCTACAGTACATAAATCTTGGGAGTGCGGTAACTGAGCCGGAGCTGGCTGACAAGCGGCTCTTGTCCTCTCAGCAAAGGCTGTAGCTCCGAGATCTGGGAAGGGCAAGAAGAGCAGGTTCGAGGTCCTGCAATTAAGGCAACAGACCTCAACCCTGCTCTGATCCAAGTGGGATTTCCCTGGGTGGTTTAGGAGCAGAAGAACTTAAACCAAACCTCTCATTTTCCCTTTTCATTCTCTAATAAATTTCACGGTAACTTGGAACTTGTAGATCATTAAAGAAAACAGTATTACATCTCAAAAATCTTGGGCCCCCAAAGCCAAAGATTATCTTGAATTATTCTCCCATATTTTGCAAAGAGAAAACTTGTCTGTACTGTAAGAGTTTAATTTGAGCCTCCCCTGAAATCCTTGCCAGAACGATTTAGCTAGTACTGCTGGAAGCTTCGATGTTCTGTACAGAGCCAAAGCTGTGTATGAGAGAGAGAGAAAAAAGACAATGTTTAATGTTCCAATCCAAACACTACGCACTACATCTATTTCCCTTTACAAGACACACAACAGCCCGGCATGGTTTCAATTATGACCGTGACGTTAATTGTACTGCTGTGTCTTCTGTAGAGTCTTCTATCTAGATTCTTGTGAAAAGAAACAGTGGGAAAGAATGGGATTAAAAGACCATATAAAACAATATGCCTGGAAAGATGGTGAGTCACAGTTTTAAAAAATAAACAAGCAAATATAACAAAGCATTAATTTTCCATAAGCAGAATGGACATCCATAACCGAGGGCAGGTTATTAATACACTGGGCTTTGCTTTGCTTATTTTAATCATGAGAATTCCATGACTTGAGAACTCAACTCCTGGTAACGGAGCTGAAACCCTATTAACCTGTTCAAATAAGCATTTGCAGGGAGGCTGTTAAAGATATGTCAACAACATGAGCTCAGTTTTTTTCCCCCAGTAATGGAAAACACACATCACTGAGGTCTGTGTTTTATGTATCTTTAAGAGAACTGGTTCAAATGAAAATAAATACGAAGCGCGAGGAGATACACTCACCGGGATGATCTGTCCACACACTCCAATGGGTTCGTGTCTTGTAAAGGTAAAATAGTCTCCATCTGAAAGAAATGAGCATGGTCATTCCCAGGGAGCTCAGATTAGAACAAAAATGCAGAGGGAGAACTCATGTGGCAGCAAAAAACAGAAATAAAGTTGAAAAATCATCCTATTCAACTGTGCATGAAATCTGGTGGAAGGGTCACTACCTGGCATAGGGCATCTCCAGATATGGCTCCCAGACACCCGGGCAGAGTACTGACAAGAGGACCTCAAAGGTAAAAGGACACGAGAGGACACTGGAAGAAGTCCTTGCGTGAACCATGTCGGGGGGAGCTGGAAACTGGCAAATATTAAATACTAAATTTTATATTAAATATTAAAACGATGCATGTAGAACAGCTATCTGATTTAAAAACTGAGGTACTTCAAAATTTTAGATAACCTTCCGAAGTATTAAAAGAAAAACTAAGTAAAATGCTATTGGGTAAATTTAAAGCGCTAGGCAACCGGAAAAGGTGAGGAGGGGAAAAGGTCTATTCCACGACAATCCAGGCGTCCAAATGCACTTCCTGGGGCTGAGGGACAAGGCCCATCTAGGCCTATTGCAAGAAGGCAAAAGCCCACTTCAAAAACTCCATCAAGAACCCAGAGCCTCCACCGCAAACTCGCAGTGGAAATGAGGACGGCTTGACAACCTCGTGTTCCTTACAGGGGCAACAGGCAATTGGAATAAGCACCCGGGAAGGCCAGACCAAATGCATCTTTAGGAAAATGCCACGACGTTTATCTGAATTATTTTAAATGGCTAATTGAAATAACCAAGGAAAGGCACGTTTTTGGCATATGCCTTTTCATGCCTGGTACTGGGCAAAGTCTCTGTTTTTCCCTCCACCTCCAGCCTTTTGGACACTTCTCTGATGTGTTTCTCTCTCAGGGGAAGCGAAGACCCCCAGTTAGCACTGGTGAACAGCGTCACCATCAGGGGTGGGGATGGAGGGGGCGCAGGTGGAGGGTGCCGGCTGGGGGAAGAGAAATGGTGTGATTGTTTACCATTGTCCTTCAACACACCTCAATCACTAATATTTAGCACACAGAATTGTTTTAATTAAATTCAGAATTACACATTTTTAAATAATTAAAGGTCTCTCTCTTTCCCAGACCTCTTCCCAGAATTAACAGGCGTTGCTGGTAAATCTTTTCAAAAAAGTTTTTTTCACATATAAGTATATGAAGCATCCTTTTATTCCCTCTTCCTCCTTTTTCTGTGTTTGGGTTTTTTCCCACTTTTTTCTTTCATATAAACCTAACATCTTTTGAACGGCTGCGTGTTATTCCACTGGCTGAATAAATAACGGTACTACCGTAAACTGTCGTGAGGGGCATAGAGATTGCATTCAGTTTAGGCTATTATAAATATTGCTGCAACACTATCATTTTATATATCTTTGCATATCTGTGGACTTTCCTGGTTAAAGTTCATGTACATTTCAAATTTTGATAAATATCACCAAATCGCCCTTCAGAAACATTACACAATTCATAATTCCAATAACATGCTATTTTTCCCTACCCTTTAACACCAGGGTTTTGCAAACATTTTAATTTCAGTTAACCTGACGGGTGAAAAATGGCAACTTGTTTTGATTTGTGTTTAATGATACATGCACTGAGTATCTTTTCATGTTTACTGGCCATTTTCAATGTTTTTCTTCAGGTTTATATCCTTTGCCATTTTTCTATTGGGTTATTCATCTTTTCAGTCATTGGAAGAACTCTAGGTATATTGAGGAAATGAGGCCTTTGTCATGTGTATTTGCAAAGTTTTTGCCTAATCTGCTGCTTGTCTCTTTATTTTGTTTTATGCATGTTACTTTAAATGGAAGAAATTACGAAGTAGGTAGTGCTCAGCAATGTAGGAAGGAAATTATATCTCCATTACAACAAAAAAAAGAGCCAAAAAGTGGAGGCTGTCCACAGGATGACAATAAAAAGTCTGAGTAATATTTTAAAAATAAAATTAACTATGTTAGCTTTGTATGCGGACAATTCAAGAATCTTCACAGATATGACTCTCTACAATAGTGTAAGTTACTACCCTTCTTCAATTTATAAATCTCTGGGAATGTTTTTTTTTTAAACATTAACACCAATTAATGTTTCATGGGTTTTTTTCCAGAAGATATGAATGTAATGTCAGGCTCTTCTTTATGGAAAGGTTTTTCATGAAGAGTAATGACACTGATAACAGGTGAGAGAATTTCTTTGCAAGGAATTCCTCCCCAACTACACTGTGTAATTTGGCTATGGTGACGGATTCACGTGGATAATCCCAGACCACAGAATCAGAGTGTAATGTCTACATGGAATGCAAAAGGGCTGAGAAAAAAATGGGAATACGAACTGAAGAAGAACACAGGTGTTTATTTTAGCAGCATGTGTGGGAAACTAGAATGGTTCTGAGAAAACACACAGGGCACTTGCACAAGCACAGCATAATAATTCATAAAGCATTTCCCTTCTCTACATTCCAAATTTTGAAGAATTTAGTTGTATTACCTACATAGTTTTGAAAGTTACTTAAGAAATGAGAGAAGGAAAAAATATCGGCAAAATCTTAAAAAGGTGACCTCTTGAAGAACTGAACTTGACTCCATAATTGTGTCCCAAGAGAAACTGAGTTATGAGGAACGAAAACTTTCTTAGATAAACGGTTCACAGATCTGACAATTAGGTAAAGGCTGACATAAAGGAAGGGACTGAAGGATCTTCTATCTCTACAGTTCCTTTAAGTAGTATATAAAGAAATGAAGCGTATTTGGTGCTTGAACTCTTCCCCAAAGAGTGAAAGAGATAAAGAAAGGGCCCTAGACCTTGAGCTCTGTCTGCATTCTCGTCTGGTTAGTGGAAGATGATTCTGGACACTCCTAGTCTGACTTGAGGTGCCCGGCAAACACAATGCTGTACCTTCTACGTGTCCCCTTGGTTAGGCCTAAAGGCACCTCTGTGGTCCTTCACACCTACTAGGACTCTGCTCCGAGTCCCACCACACTTCTACACTAAGGTTACCCAAAAGCCAGTCACTCAAGAGCCACCGTCATAATTTTTTCCATATCCAAGTATCACTCTCTTACTTAATAATTTGTTAAATCAACTGATCTTTTAAAAATATGTAAATGCTGCTTGTTAGCCTCACCTTAAGGAAAATCTATGAAATAACAGGTGTCATGAGCTAGCAATATTTTCTTCTAATATTCAAACCTCATAATTAAAATAAAAAATGTTCACTACTTTACCGGATAGAATCGTCTTGGATGCTCCCAGCGCCATATGGTATGCCATATTGCACTTCTCAATATGCACCTGGCGATCTTGTTAAAATGCAGGTTCTGAATCAGTAAGTCAGGGGTGGACCTGAGTCTGCATTTCGACAAGCTCCCGGGTGATGCCGCTGCTTCTGGTCCACAGACCACACTCCGAGCAGAGAGGTTCAGAGGAACCAAGAGGGTACAGGGAAGTCTGCAGGTCATGATGACCTACAGGTGCTGACTATATTTCTGTGTGTTTATTTTTTGCCTCTCAGATAACTACTAATTTGCCAGAAAGGAGCTTGAAGTGTAGGAGAAACTGATCAATGTTGTTAATACTTTTAAAATAGTGAAGTAAGTACAAAAACATACATTTCTATGGAAACTTACAAAATATTTTCGCATTCTTATCTCATTTCACACTCAAAACAACTCTATGAAAAAAGATAGGGCAACTGTTATTATCAACATTCTATAAACAGAGAAAATATGGAACTGAGAGGTTAAGTCCAAAGTGATATAACTGGTTAAGCTGTGGCTCCTGGACTTGAATCTGGGTCCCCAGACTTCAAGTTCATTACCCATAGGAACAAATTCAAGACTCTTGTGAATAAGGTGCTGGATTTAGCTGGATATCACAAACCACAGAATCAGAGTGTAATGTCAAGAAGGAGTGCAAATTGGGGGAAAATGACAACTCCTTTGTGAAGGGTGAAGATGACTCTTTGAGGACGTGGTATGTGGACACAAAGAACTCACACAAACTCTGGTATCCTAAGTTCTAAAGGGAACAGTGCCGAGCAACACTCTCTCCCTTTGGGTGGAGGAGCCCAGGACTGAGGGCCTCTCTCCTCTCTCATCCAGGCAGAGTCTACGAGAAGGGTGACAGAGTGTTATTTCTCTCTCTCTTGTAAACCTAAGATGATATATAATGAGCACTCTTCTCTGCCGAGAAGAAAAACTACAGCCCATTTCCCCATCTTTTATGTTAATAATGCTCTCTAAATAAGGCAAGATGACTTAAAAGGTTGTCCCTTCATTTCTCTAGCTTTACACTATAAAGCATATCCGCTTGATATAGAAGAAAATCTCCACCCAAACACGGATACTCCTTTACAGGCTATGATGATTTTAGGTCTTCTTAGCAAATGTGAGGCATTACAGAGAGAGCTCAGCCTCAGCAAGGAAGGACGCATGTGATGAGGATACCAGAGAAACGTCCTGAATACCACGTTCTGAGCCAACGAGTTAGAACATTACATATGGTGGAGAAAACTAAAGAAGAGATGAGAACCAAAACAGAAATACAAAATCACGCATAAGACTATCTCTTAGCCTCTCTTCCATTCATTCAAAAAAGGAAAAAATACAGAGTAGTACATACTGCTCTTAAAAAGAGTTTAAGGCACAGCCAGAGACAACTTTTCTGATGTGTTTTTATATCTAAGTGTTTCCACCTTGTGGAGAATGTAAAAATCTTTATAAAATTAAGTACTTTATTAGATTATGAATTTGGTTGAACTATGGAGCAAATTTTATTGAATATGTGCAGATTGAGCCATTTCTAGAATTATACTAAGAAAGCCAATTTTTCCCTAGAAGTGAGTACTAGAATAAGCCTCTTCTATATCTGTGAAATGTCGAACCACTGTTCTATTTTCTTGGATGGGGTTCATCAAATTACACAGGAGAGACAGCAGGTATTTAGTTAATTAGAACAATTTAATTATTTGGATTATTCCTTCAGGGTAAAC